ATAGATAGATAGATAGATAGATAGATAGATAGATAGATAGATAGATAGATAGATAGATAGATATCTGTTTGATATCTGTTATGAGATCATGTTTTTTGGTTATTTAGCGTTCCTTTGTTTTTGGTTAGTTATCATTCATTTAGGTGAATGATTTTTTATAAATAGGCAGTCAATGTTAGGACCAGCATGCATCTGGGTGGGTGTATGTTTTTTTTTACCAGCACAAGAGAAAGATGGAGGAAATATTTGTCTTTTTTTGTTTTGTTTTCTTGCCTAAGTAAAAAATAAACTGAGAAAACTAAAGGATTTTACCGAGAAACATTTTTTCTTTTGCCTGCGTAAAATAAGTCCATGGTGCATCTGCGGCCTTTGTGGATTTCCACTTTTTGGTGTCATCAAAGCTGGGCCACAATACATACAGACAGATTGGTTAAGTCTTCTAGCTAAGAAAACCAGTTATAGGCAACAGTTGACTTTATAAGATTACAGGTGTTTTACTTGGAACAAGGAGTTTAACAGATAGAGTATATTCTGCACAGCAACTACACAGATGGAGCCAAAATGAATTAATACTAAAGAATGTCCCTTTTATTCTGTCTTCTCTCAGACTACATGTACCTGAATGCATGTTTAAAGTAAACTGTCCCCTTCCATTGTTTTACAGAGGTGTCCGTTCCTAGGAACCCCTGCAGATTAACAGCCCCTAGTGAGTCAGCAGCTTGAGGATGTCTGGCCTTCTAATTTATCAAATTAGCAGATAACATCCTCACTCTGAATGTCAACGACCCTTGGATACTACATGCTGCATATTACAGATTAACAGAACTAAGTTCAACTTATAAACTCAGAGTTATGCAATTCTACTGCTCTTTGATGAACCCTCAAAGTTTAGCTTAATGATTACATAATATAAAACAGTTCAACTTATCATAATTTTTTAAACGGAAACTAAAAGTGTCATCACTTCCAATGAAACAGATATTAAGGTGTTATTTATATTAGTGTTAGTGATCGTCTGGCTTTTGGAATTAAGAGCTCTAAAAAAAGTGAGTCCCAATTAATGCTGTAAAGGAAGCAGTTTCTTTTCATTGTTTTTCTTCGTTAAAGTAACAAACAAAAATCGTTTACAGATTTTAATGTATAATGTAAATTAAAGGACATAATTAGTGCCTGATATTTTATTTTATAGGCAAGAAACTTCATTCTTTCTGTGACTCTCAGTCAGTGCTCTTTAAATTTAAACATTTAGCTCATTATTCTTTTTTTTTTTCATTTACTCTCTGCCGTCTGTATAGATTGATGTTAAGCACTGCTAGCAACATCACAGTTTAAGAGCCAAATATTTGTCTTCTGTCCAAAATGTTCACATGGGGGCAATACAAAACTATAAAATCAAATTCAGAGGGCCGCAATTACGCTCTTTCAATTTCAGACTTGCTATATTAGTTTTATAAAAGTGATGTTAGTTCAGTTAAGCTATTTCTAATTTATGAACTGTCTGTGAAAAGCTTAGAAAACTTTCCATGAAGTGATGTGCAGAAGGAGGAGGTATGGAGCAGGAGGATAGTTTACTCTCAGTAAGACATTTGCTATGGTGTCGCTCTGATGGTCTGAAATACTTTTTTAAAATTACATATTTAGAAACTTGACATAAGGGTCCTCCAGCATTGATACTCGTAATTCTTCTTGGCAAATCACTTGGCTCAGATTTTATGCCCATGTTTACAGTAGATGTTCATATTCTGTCTTTGGTATGCTCTTGTTTTTTTGAGAGAAATATTGAAATTTGGGTTCTAGCCTTTATATTAAAACCTGGAAGTTGCTATTTGTGCATTTTATTAAACAAGCATCTTGAATATTCCAACAATTAATTCACCTGCTCGAGCCGTATGGAGATTTAGGTACATGTGTCTCTGAGACCAAAGAACAAAAATGAGAGCCAATCTCTCTTATCTTAAAAAATATTGGAAAAAAAAATACAATTTTTTTGATGTTTTAAATGGTTTTCTTTTGTACATTTTTACTTTCTATATTTTATAGACTGCTTTGTAGATATATCTGTTTTTTACAAGACAAAATATAGAGGTAACAAATCCAGCATTCATAAACTGTGAATGTTAACAACTATTTGACGATATTAAATTCCTTGACACTTGAAATAAAACACATTGAAGGAAAGATTAAGTTTAGAAAACAAATCCTATTAAGTTCTGTGTAAAAACTACATTATAAATAAAATTACTTTTTTGTGTGTTTTCTTCCAATTGAAATAAAAAATAACCCTAAAAGCTTATCTCATGAATGATATATTTCTATAATATTGAATGTAAAAAAAAAAAAGAAAAAAAAAGAAGCATTTATATCACAAATAAAATCTCTTAGGATATAGCGTTCCAGTTTCCCTATTGTAAGTATATAGCTAGTAGGACCAACAACAGTAATGACAAAAAAAGGGCTTTTGTGTAGCTAAATGTAACATAAATGATAAAGAAATGCTAAAAACAATTACATTTGAACAGTTTGAAAACTGATGATATGAGTAAAATCCATCTTAATTCCACAGGTTGGGTATAACAAGTAATTCTGAGTTTTGGAGGTGTTACATATGAAATATTAAAGATCAGAAGTTCAGACTTGCAAATGAAAGGCACTATTTAATACCAGTAGGGACATCACACTAGTGCTAGCAAGCTGTTTTTTTTTTTACCCTGAAGGACATAATCCTATTTCTACTGTCATATGGGAGTGGCAGTTAGGGTTTAGAGCTTGAAATCCTGAGGTTCGGAGTTTGAGCCCCATTCCCACAGACCGCCACTCTGGGTCCGTAAGTAAGAGCCTTAATCCCACACTGCTACCCGGGCGCCGTACAGTGGCAGCCCACTGCTCCCTAAGGGAAGAAAAAAAATTGGACTGATTTTTAAATATTATTTCAGTTTAATATGGGAAAAAGGTCAGAATTCTGACATTATTTCTCACAATTCGGACTTTAATCTCAAAATTCTGACTTTTTCCCCTCAGAATTCTGACTTTAATCTCAGAATTCTGACTTTTTACTGACTTTAGTCTCAGAATTTTGGATCTTAATGTAGATGGGCACCACGAAGGAAGAGGTGTGGGAGCACTCAGCTTCACTGACAAAGATGTGAGTTGTTTGGGAGGGCCACTGTGAGATGTGAGTTTAGGAGGGCCAGTAACACATTGGTGGAAAATGACAGGATTAGGCGACTTTTTACGTGCCTGAGGGGTCCTGGTGGTGCTATTTCATTAATGGAAGAGCAGAAGGTGATTAAAACAAGAGAGCTAGTTTAGTCTTTAAAACAGACATGGATACAGCTTGATGCTAACATGAATGTTAGCTGTCAGAATTCAGTCAGAATTCTGAGATTAAAGTCAGAATTCTGAGATTAAAGTCAGAATTGTGAGAAAAAATTCAGAATTCTGACTGAAAAAAATGAAAAAGTTTCACTGATTTTTAAATTTTATTTCAGTATAACATGAGAAAAAAGTCTGAATTCTGAGATTAAAGTCAGAATTCAGACTTTTTTCTCATAGTATACTGAAATAAAATTTAAAAATCAATCATCTACTTCCGTAGATATTACAATTTCTAAAAAGTTTCTTTCCTGACACTGAGGCAGCCATTGCCAATCAGTGTCTCTCAGTCAGTCTTATTTGGTGGCATTTTTACATTTTTGTCAAATCCTTTAACTGTTACATCTCCAAAAATATTTCCCAGAATGATTCATATTTAGCTAAATTCATTTAAAGTCAACTGTTTCAACAGTTTTACACGTCAAACTTTAGTTTTTTCCTCCCTCCCTCTAACTTGATTCAGTCCGATCCGAATTTTTTCCGGACTCCACCTCCGTGTTTTCTCGCGGCCTCACTTCCGCCCCTCTTTGGATCCACTCCGGGCTTTTCTTCCCGCCTAAAGCCGATCTTGCTGCAGGGAGGAGCGACTGGGGTGCAGCGGAGAGATGAGCTGAGCATCACAGCCCCGCATTCAAGGAAACGGACTATCACAGCACTTTTTTTCTCTCTCTATGTATTTATTTGTATAACTCCCCGCTGTGTGTTCGGTCCCGTGAAGCTCCATGAGGTGAAACATCATCTCTCAGAAGAGGAGCTCGATGTGAGCAGGTTTTCTCTGAGGAGCGGGGGATCTCTGCCCAGTCAAGGAAGACCCCCTCAATTGTTTCCTGCGCCAAGAACTGTAAAGACATGGTCATCACAGCGCATCTGTGGTAAGACAGTCTGCTTCCCTCTGATTCATAGCAGCCTTAAAACCAACACTTATGTCTTCTTAATAACAGCGTTATTAGGAATGAGGATGAAGAGCTGCTGTTTTTGGAGCCCAGCTTGTCATCCTTTTCGGGTGAATCATCGAGGACCATTCCAGCATCTCTCATTTAAGCAGCTGCTGGGATGCTTAAACTCCAAACATTACATTTTAACAGTCTTTAAAAAATACAAACATTAATGCTCTTTATTGGAGTAACAAAGCCCAGGACAGAGGAACTCAGAAACTGACTTTGATGATGTAATGATGATGCGTCACTTATATTTTTTTTTTCACCCAGTCCTGCATTTAGTTCCCCACATATCTGCCATTTAATTAATAAATATCATTATTCATCTTTTATAATAAGCATATTCACTGTGAGGCAGTTGCTTCAAAGGGAGCTAATTTAAAAAAAGTTTCAGCCCACACTATCACTCAGCCTCCTGTTTTAACTGAAGGTCAGCCAGTGACACTGCAGTTAGTCATCAACAATAGGAAAGCTTTTTGTAGTTTTTGACTAATCCTTTGAATAGCCGCTTATTCTTTCAGGTAGAATGGATTTCCTAATGTCTTGGACAACCCTACCTAAAAAAAAGCTGTTTACTGTATCATGTTTTTCAGTCATAGTGGAAGGCCAGTGCTAAGACATAGACACTAGTGTTACGTATGTATGAGTAAAAATGCCCCC